CAGCCAAGGATAGATACATCTCGAAGGTCGCTTGGAAATACATAACCATATCAGTTAAGAAAGGGGGCTAGGCTTGATAAATCCGGTAAATGAGTACAAAGCTCTACAAACTAAATGGATAATAAGGGTAATCCTACACAGGGAACTACCGTGGCACAACCTGGCATTGTACCAGATTCGTAATCTGACACCCTTCAAAACAGACCCACACATAGAGGAGTACCACTTGTTAATGAACACAGCATGGACACCACGAGTAGAAGGCAGAAGAGAAAGCAAAAACCAACAAACAACTAAAGACCCCCCAAGCAAGCACTGGAGAACCCTTATAACGCATTGGAGAGAAGCATTCCCAAAAAAAGTTAGAAAACCAAAAATAAAAGAAGAAATCTTGAGGCAACCACTCTTTGGCAACCCCCTTCTACTGGAGGGGAGAGACAAACAATGGACCTTAACAAGCAAAGGGAAAAAATGGAGAAAATGGGTCAAGAACGGAATATGGAAAGTAGAACACGTCTGGAAGGAAGAAGGAAAGCGTTGGAAAACAACCTCCGAATTGAGACAACATTTAAGGGCTGCCACAATCTGGAAAAAAACTTCGAGGAAATGTTGGATAGCATACCACTAGAATGGAGAGCCACACTAAAAGGAGAAATCAAATGGCAGAAAGGGGATTAGGCAACAGACAAGACTCAGACAACACCCTTTGTAGCACTCAAATTCATCGAGCAAACAGAGAATCGGGACAACATAGCAGAATTCGAGGTACACGAAATAGTGAATAATCACAAATCAACAACTGAAGTTAAAGAAGAGATAATAACCCTAGAATTCAACTTAGACAATGTGAGAAAAGTCAGAACATGGAGCCTCAAGGGGAAAACAAGTCCCCCAGGAAGAGAAAACACCCCCCAAAAATTGATAGTCTTCAGACCAGATAAAGACATCAGAGAACTGGAAATAGACCCAACAGAATGGGGGTGGTATGTTAAACTGGGGGGGGACCAGAGCCAGAAAGTTAATTAGCTTACAAGACTATACAGTCAAGACAGGGTATAAGATAAGAAACAAGAGAGTCGATCCGCGCACAACCATCTCAAAAAGATGGATCAAACATCTAGGGGAAGAGCACAGATGGCCTACGCAAATTCCCAGGGGCTACTATAGCAACATCAGGCCCACCAGATTCAGAAGTCTACAATGGTTGATACTATACTGGGCGGTACCGGTCAACGAGTGGCTAGATAAACGAAGGAAGTACGAGCACAAAACAGAACAGTAGGCCCTCTGCAAAATGTGCGACACAAAAACGAAGTTGAATCACTAATACACTGCAACATCTCCGTAAACCAGTTCCCGCTACAAGCTGACTACCTCCTTTCCAGGAGAGAGAGTAACACAAACCTAGACGAAGAGGAAAGGACCATAGCAGACCTGTTGAGAAGAGCAGCACTATGGGTCATGTGGAGATCAAGATGCAAGGGGACGCTGGGTAACCAGTAGACAACGAATGAGGAAGAATGGAAGAGACAAAGGAAATCGCAGAGACAGAAATAAAGGCACAATGGAAAAGGGAAATAAAGAAACAGGAAAGGTTAGTAGACCCCAGGAAAAGAAAGGCTAGCCAGAAAACTTTCGAAGAAAATTGGCTACTAAAAAAGAAAATAGCCAAAATTAAGAAAGGATACCTAAGCTTCACTGATTGGGATACCATCCACCAAGACTCAGACCAAGAAGCAGACAACTCAAGGGATGAAGAGAGGGACATGGAAGAGTATTAATAAGAAATCAAGGAGGAAACAACTGCAGGCCCTAGGAAAACCACAAAAGAATGCACCCCCAAAGGAAAAAAAGGAAGGTTAAACCAGACACAAAAAACCCAAATAGGGGAAGAAGGCACTCCATTGGCGGACTCGGGGCGGAAGGGAGCACAGACTCCCATCAAAAAGACAGGAAATATCTAGCGGACTACGGAGACTTACTTCGAGATAAAAGAGTCAGGTTAAAAAAGTTGATCATCAAACAGAGAAAGAACTTCAAAAAAGGCCAGAAGGAAGAGCGAAAGGGAGACTAGGGTTTAGGGTTAACACTTTACCTTCCACAAACACCACTAGACAGCTCTCAGGACAGCAAAATTCAAAAATCAAGCAATACCAATAGACAAACACTAAAACCCATTAGACTGCACCCAATAACGACTCAGCAAATGCAGTGGTTTAGGAGGCTAAGCTCTTAGCAAAGTCCACCGCGTAGGGACCAATCAGCAGTTCTAGCAAGCAAGATCAATTGACAGTCAAAGTACTGAGAAGAACAACCTGGTAAGGTCCTAAAGAAACAGGACTCCATTCCCTAAACAACGGCTAGGGAAGACCAGCGGATAGGAAGAAGAGCAAGGTAGCTCAGGCTAACTTAGGCAGGGGTAAGGAGCGGTATATCCTTCCTACGAGGAAGCAATGAATGCTGTCCTTCGGGCCTCCACACCATAAGGGGGAGGAGCGTGTGTGAGTAATCATTGTAACTCTTTCTGACTTGCCGGAGGAATAGGAACAGGACTGATGCTCTGATGCAGGGGCCGGTGGAATAGGAACCGGACTGATGCGAACCGGACTGTTGCGACTAATGCTGGTCACTGTCGTGGGGCGGGGAGCGCTTGCGCCGTACGGGTAGCGCAACGAGCGCCAAGTTTCGCGCACCTACGCCATTGAACTCCACGAAGTCCGCCTTGCCTAGCGCCATCGGGCCTCCATAGCCAGATAAGGGAACCCGGCGCGTGCGCGCCTGGCGCGTGCGCGCTGATGTCCTATAGCGGGGAGACAAGAAACTTTCCGAGAACGCTACGAGGTCTTCATCGCCATTCTAGAGAGTATTCGGGATCGACAGCGGATGATCGCGGAATTTCTTCATGTGAGAGCGTTCCCTATTCCGCCTTATCATCTAACTACCCTCAACAGACCTCTTCATCTTTCCCTCTAATACATCCCTGTAACGCAGAATTTTTACCCCATACTCCTCGCCATAGCGTTCGCACCCCACAAACCCCTTCCCTTCCCCAGCCCCGTCACACATTCACCCCGCTTCCCGTCTTAAGAACCGATCCCTCCCTCACCCCCTCTCGACCCCATCCAATCTTCTCCCGGACCCAATCCTCTTCTTCTCCTCTATCCCACATCCTCCTCGATTCTTGCCTATCTCCACACCGACCTCTTCACCCCACATCCCCCTGATCGCTACACTTCGTTCCCACCCATTCTCTACTTGGTCCCATTCACTCATCCGATCTTCGACCCCCCTCTCACCCCTACTCAACCATCCCAAACGATTTCCCCCTCATCCCCTCTCACCTCCAACCAATCCTTTCCGAGCCCCAACTTTCTCCGTCCCCCTCTACCCCACAAACTCTCTGACCTGTCCGTTTTGCAACCTATATCTCTTCTACCCACACCCTCCCAATCGTTACGCTTCGCTCCCATCCCTTCTCCCCCCGCTCTCCCATCAGACATCCTATCCAGTTTTCACCCCAATTTCGCTGCGCTGGACAAAACCCAATTCCCCAGCGGAGAAGATACCTGCTTTCACCAACTCATACTACCTACTTGTCAGTCCTTTTCTGGACCTGAGCTCGCTTTTCGATTCACACTCCTTCCCGTATAAAAACTCGATCCCCAAGCGGGGAGGGCAAATGCTGTCGAATTGCTGAATCGACCAAGTTGTATCAAGTCCATCCCGGTCTTTCCTTATCCGAACCATCCCGCCCCCCTGACCTTTCTCCCCCACCGATCCCGTCCCTCTGACCCCTTTCCGCTGACGCCGTTCCCTGTTCCCTATCCAGCTCCCCCCGATCTCGCTCCTGTCCCCCCGATCCCGGTCCCCCAACCCATCCCGCTTCCCCGATCCCACTCCCCTTCTCCGATCTCCCCCCCCCCGTTCCAACTTCCGAAAGATAGTTTAATCCTCCCGCAGCAAACCCAACCCTTTAATCCTATCCCGTCCACAATCCCGCTTCAAGGGAGAGGGCGGGAAGGAAGAGGAAGTGGATGTTTGGGAATATCCTGAAGAGGACATCCAATCTCTGAACGAACTGTACGAGAAGCATGCAGTCCTCTTCAATTTCTCCGGAAGAAGCAGGGAGCTTTCTTTAAATGAGAAGAGAAGGTGGGTGAGGGACAGACTTTTAGCTATGGAGGACGTGCCCGGGAAGGAACCAAAGGTGTCATTCCACAGGAGGGGAAGGTTTGTCGTGATGATCGTCTGTGTTGATCCTACCTATGCCCAGTATCTGCTGTCGATAGGTTCATTGAAATGCAAGGGGGCAATAGTCACAACCCAACCTTGGAAGCCACCTAGACCGCCCCAAGCCGAAGCTTCCAGACACAGACAATCAATGCTGAAGAACCACTTTTGGGTTCAGTTTGACAACCTATCGAAGGAATGCACAGGTTTGTGCAAAGGAGACTGCAGGAGGAATTTCCAAGCAACCCAATCATAGAATGGTTCCCGGCCAACCCGGACTTTCTGGCGCCTAATCACAATGCAAGGGTGGCTTGCTTGGAAGTCAAGTCAGGAGCACCGCCGAAGTTCCCGGACCAATGGATTTTCAAGAAAAGGCCAGAGAATCACAGTCTTCATCTCGACGAAGACCAACCCTTTCTGTTTCAAATGCAGGGGTAGAGGTCACCTGGGAACCTGTTGTCCACAAGGCGAATCAGGAGCATCAGAAGGAAAAAGGATGGCATTGAAACAATCTATGCTTCATGAGTGTGAAAGCAAGCCAGGAGTCTGGTATATCAATTCCTCCTTATACAGGGGGTGGATATTCGATGACAATTTGGAAAATCCAAGGTGGGTTTGGGTGCTGAAGATTCGTGAAGAAGGATCCAACAGTCAAACCGGACATCTATCCACCATACGATAGCAGGTGGAGGCACACAGGAGCTAAGAGAATGGAAGACAAGGAGACCGGTTTTATCATCAAACCGATGTTGGATGATGCGGTCGTACAGGATGATGAGCAAAGACTGAAGCTCATGGAGGAACTACATGAGGTCGGGAAAAACGCGGAATTGGCCTTCTTGGAAAATGCACAAGTCAGAGCGCAGCAGCAGGAGCAGACAAGAGGCAAGGATGACAAATCAAATTTAATGGAGGAGGGTGAGGGAGACAGCATGGACTGCGAAGAAGGAAGGGGGGATCAGGGGGGGGAAATTTCTCCACAAAGAGAAAGGGAGAGTCAAGAGGGGAAGAGGGGTCTAACTCTCAAGAAGGAGAGTCGCAGCAGGGAAAAAGAAGACAAAAGACCCAATCAGTGGAAGGGGTCACTACAGGAGAGGAAGAGGAAGAGGGCAAAACAAGCATGGACTCATAAGAGACTTTGGGCAAAGATAGTGGGACAGAGTCAACCTCACATGACTCGACCTCAAAGGGTACCAGGTCAGGTGAGAAAGGGACAGGCATTGCAGATAAGAGTGAGGAGGACTTGACAGACAAGGATCACCCAGGGGGATCATCACAACAAGAAGAGGACAGGGGCAGATCTCAGGGGGCCCAGGGACACGTAACAGCGGAGGAAGAGGAAAGGGTAAGAGAAAGAGCGAGAAGGAGAGGGATGCAAAACACTGAGAACATGTCAGTGGAACAGATACTGCAGGCAGAGGAGGACCAAGGAGAGGGTTCACCAGACATAGAAAGCGAAGCTTCATCAGAGGAGGAAGACGAAGAGGAGGAGGAGGATCAGGAAGACGCTGACGTGGAGGACTGGACAAGGGAACGGTGGGTAAAAGAGGTGGAGCAGCTGGAATGGGGGAGGACGATTGAGTGTGAAATCAGGCTGGCCCACTACAAACACCTGAGGAACCTTCAACAAGCCACTCAAGCAGGGGAAGACATTACGTCAGAGAACAGGTTTGAACTGCTAAGGAGGGAGGGAGAAGTCAATGAATTCTACGCATCTCAGTATGCAAGAAAGTCCCGTACAGTAAGAAACGAGATACACTTACAGCAGGAGGAATATGAGAGGATATTTCAGTGGCCAAAGTTCTATCATAGCAAGGAAAGAAAGAAGGACAGCAAGAAACGAAAGGCTCAGGCGGCAGAGGATCAAAGCAGTGCAGTGGAGGTAAGAAATGACCCAATGAAGGGTCCTGCATTGGAAGAAGAACAAGGGAAGGGAGAGAGTGATGAGGAAGAGGTCCAGGATCTGAGAAGGCAAGCCGCAATCTTGGTGGTGCAGGTGAACTTGCTCAAGGACGAGAACAGGGAGTTGGAGGACGACACAGTGAATGTACAAAAAATAGCGACAGGACAGTGGAAGGAGATTGAAGTCGCGGCCAGACTGGAATCCAAAAACGGGAGGAGGAGAAAAGTAGTCCTTCCATGTCGATGGAATGCAAGGCACTCAGACTGGGAAGTGGCAATCAACCAATCCTTACAGATGCTAACAACCCCGACTGAGGAGTGTTCTGGCTCGGATATCCAGAAATCAATAGGGGGAGAGGTGCCTGCTCACGCATTCATATTGAGAGAGGGAGGAGCGGATCCGATGGCGTTAGGAGAGGAAGGAGAGGAGGGGACAATGACATATTTTGGTCCACTGTTACTCCAAATGGGGACTGATTCCGAGCTAAGAGAGGGCTTGATTTGGATGCCCTGGCACGTGGTGGAGACCATTCCCTATGGGTTGCTTGGGGGGGAACTAGGTGCGGAATGGGTTGCAAGATGCACAGCGGTGGCGACAAAAGTAGAGGCGTTTGCTTGGAAACCAGACTTCATCGAGAAGAGGGTAAGTAGGGTGGCAACAACTATAGAGCTCACCGCACAAGACACTTAAACAAGGTAAGACTGAGGGGGAGTCTACATTCTAACAAACGGACCCGATGGAGAGAGGAGAGTTAGAGAGACCAAGAAAGCAGAGAAGAAGACAAGAGGGGGGTAAGGGTCCACCGGAACTCAAAATTATATTTTGGAATGTGAATGGCCTAGTTGGGATTTTAGAGAATGGAGACAAGTGGCAGAACGTAGTAAATTACTCATAATGGTTCTCTCTGTCTCCACCGGATTTTTTGTGCTTGCAGGAAACACACTTACAAGAGTCGGTATCACACCAGAAAACGAAGTACCAGATAGAGAAGAAACTGCAAAGAATCAAGACAGCATGGTGGGCCCCAGCAGCAAACAACCACTCCACGGGGGTGGTTATATTCCAGAACAAAAAGGTGAATGCGGTGGACAAGATTATTATCACAGAAACATGGGGGGATGAGGAGGAGGGAAGATGGGTCAAGATTGACTTCGAGCTGCATCAGGAACCCTACACTCTACTGTCAGTTTACTGTCCAAACGGTTATCACCAAAGATTAGATATGATCGAAAGGCTCAAAGCACTCCTCGACGGGAATAGGCACCTAATCTTAGCAGGAGACTGGAATGCCACCTTAGATCCCAGCCTAGACAGAATTTCAGGAGGTGTTAGTTCAGAGGAAGAATGCCGTGCAGAAGAGTCCCTACCGATTCATGGGCTAATGAGGAATTTAGAACTGATAGACCCGTACAGGTTACTCTTTCCTAATGAAAGACAATTCACCTATAGAAAGAGAAACCGTAGCCAACACGTGTCGGCTTCCAGGATAGACTACTTCTTAACATCACCAGGCATAACGGGCATGTTGCATTCAGTATCTATAGGTACCCTTCCGTACGACGTGGGTCTGGACCACAAACCTATTTTTTTGAGTTTGACATCAGACAAACAAATCAGCAGGGGTAAGGGGTTCTACAAAATCAATAATTCCCTCCTTAAAACTAAGGAAATGAGACAGGCGGTCTTACAAGTTTGTCAGCAATATAACCTAGATTCACACTCATTCCCAGAACTATTAACATCACTGTCTAAAGCGGCTGCTCTTGTGGCTAGGAGGCTTGCGACAAAGAGGAAGGAAAGAGAAGAAGAACTGAAGCGAGCAATAGAGATAGTAGAGCGCAATACTATTCTTAGGCCGGGGACCGAATTATATGAAAGAACATTAGAGACGGCAAAAGGGGAGATGGTGGAATGGCAGCGCTGGAAAACGAAAGGTTTAAGAATGAGAGCTAGAATCAAAGAATGGGAGGAAGGGGAGAGAATGACCAAATTATTTTTCCAAAAAATCAAGACTAGGGGCAGGAACAATCTCATAGAGAGCTTAGAAGGGGAAGGGGGGTTGACCTCCGACAAGGAGGGGTTGTTAAGGGTGGCTTTTGACTTCTATAGTAAACTATATACGTCAGTGGAAGAGCAGTTCCCTAAGCCTAAAGTTGAGGAGGCGAGATCAAAGTTTCTGAATTATCTTGAGAACACAATTTCACGAAAGCATGCTGCCATGCTGGACGAACCCTTAACACAGGACGAGTTATGGGAGGCACTAAAAACGATTACCCCAAATAAAACCCCTGGGAAAGATGGCCTGACAAGAGAATTCTGGCTTGAATTTTGGCCAATTTTGGGGGAGGAATATGTTTCCTTTCTTGAATAGGCATGGCAGGCTGAGGGCATTGGGAGCGAGCCCTCAACGGGGATAGTCACGCTGCTTTACAAAAAAGGGAGTCCAACGGACATACGAAATTACAGACCAATAACTTTGTTGTCTCTCACTCACAAAATAGTAGCCAAGGTGCTAGCTAATCGGCTATCCAAAATCACGGCGGGTTGCTTCCATCTGGATCAAACAGGATTCATCCCGGGTAGGTTTATCCTGGACAATGTCATGTGCCTAACAGAATCGGTCCGGTACATAAGGGACAAGAGAATCAACGCCGCCATTCTTTTTTTCGACTTTGAAAAGGCTTACGATCAGGTCAGTTGGCCTTTCTTGCAGTTGTGCATGGAAAAGATGGGGGTAGGGCCGAACTTTAGGAAGTGGATCAGGGTCTTATACAACAATGCACCGGGACAAGTACAGATAAATGGTCACTTATCCTCGACCTACCCGATGTCAAGGTCGGTTAGGCAAGGAGATCCCTTAGCCGCTCCCATCTTTCTCTTCATAATGGAGGCAATAGCCTCCTTTCTGAGAAAAGACCCGTCAATAGAAAGGCTAACAGCCCGACCAGACCAGCAAGGACACAAGGTGCTAATCCCAATGACGATTCTGTTCGCGGATGATCTGACAGTCTTAATCAAGGCAACAGACTCCTCCTTCCAAGCGCTAACAAGAGCTATGGAAGCCTTCCAACTGGCTTCAGAAATGAAAATCAATTGGCACAAAACAGTCGGCTGGTGGATGGCAGAGCTAGACCAAGAGTACCAGATTCCCCTCACTAGCCCCGAGGGACTTCAATGGTTGTCACCCCAACAACCGCTCCGATATCTAGGGATCAAATTAACAGAGGAGGGGTCTCACCAGTCGATGGCGGCGGACATAATGTCCAAGATGTTAGCAAAGTTCGGGGCTTGGTCGTCTGTGTACACCTCTATATACGGAAGAGCACTGATCTTGAACGCATCGATCCTTTCCATGATGTGGTACGCGGGGTCAATTTGGACCCCACCCAAGGCCACATCGACCTAGCTGAGGAGAAAGGCAGCAGCCTTTTTGTGGACAGCGAAGCACAACACGGAACATTTCGTAACCAAGGTGGCATGGAAAACGGTAACCAGAGCCAAAGGTCAAGGGGGCCTAGGCATCCTAGACCCGAGCCTACAACTGAAGGCTTTGCAAACAAAATGGCTGGTCAAGCTAATCTCACAGCCGAGATTATCATGGACTTCCTTAGTATTGGAAAGGATCAGGCAGATAGCTTTGTATAAAACACCTGGCAACATGACGGGACTGTTCTGGATCATGTGTAGCAGCTGGGCTAAAGTGGGCTACAGGAAGGAGAACAGGGATGCACAAGGTGCGAGGGCTAGAAACCCCTCCTATTGGCTGCAGCTAATACAACTGTGGAAGGAGGTCTTCCCAGCAAGGGTCAGGGAACCTACTACTAGGGAGAAGGTATTAAGACAACCGATTTTCTGCAATATTTGCATAAGGGATGGCGGCGGAAAACCCCTAACACTTACGAGCAAGGATTCGAGATGGGGCAGATGGGTGGAGCATGGGATATGGCAAATCAAGCACATATGGGATGATGAGAACAAGCGTTGGAAAACAGCAGCTGAACTGAGGAGAGCGTTGAAGGGGTGCCACAATCTTCAGGACAATCTGAGAATAGTCACTGACGCCATACATCCATCCT